GTGACTAGAATTTTGTTTATTTGTTTATAATTAATCCTTTGTGTAGTTACCAATGAAACTTGAAGAATTTACTTAATTGTTGTCTGAATATTAAGAAAAACCATGCAGTGATTATGTAAATCTCTATATTCTGTTTTGCTCAGGGTTGTTGTTAGGTAGTCATTACCAGGATTTTTATGCTGCTTGTTAATTAAGAAATAACCGTGCACTCATTATGGAAAACAGATTTTTCTCAGCCTATTACAGGGCACAGTTTTGGAAAATTGAGAAATGTGTTTATCAGTTAGAATTTAAGGCCCTGCTGACAGACAGCAGCGGAGTCAAGGAACCTACCAGTATGTACTCCAGGGGCAGGCAAAATATAGCCCACCAGGACATTCTATCCGGCACGTAGGACCCCCTAAAAATGTAGAAAATTAATATTTATTTGCTCCTGGCTGCCTGACAGAGATGACAGGAGCCCTGGGGCAGTAGGACGCAGGGGAAGCCAGCAGATGGAAGCAGGGGAAGCCAGCAGCAGGACCCAGCAGCAAGGCCCACCCAGCCCTGCCCCCCCAACCAGAAGTCGCTGCTTAGCAGAGGCTTCTGGCCTGGGACCATGGGAGTGTTCCTGCTTCTCTGCTCCAGAGAAGGAGACACAGCCCTCAACAGCTTGCCAAAATTCAGTAAGTGGCCCTCTGCCCAAAACAATTACCTGCCCCTATGTACGCTAATTTCTCGTAACTCCTGGCAGTTTCTGCAGGATCAGTGCAGGTCCACTTCATCAGCTCTGCTGTCAGCACATGTACCCTTTGCAATACACAGCTACCAAAGAGACCGTGTCAGCTAGCAGAAGGGATAGGCAAGACCATGCATGTCTTCTGTCAGCTTTTGTGTGGCTGCAGCAGATTCCTTTTGCATAAAGGGGTCACATTAGTCGGCCAGCAGAAAGAAGAGTTTCTTTCTTCACAGAACAGCTGTGTGTGTGGATACACTCAGAGCTTTGCTGGCAGTATTATATCATATCATCATCAATACCATCCTGTCATCCCTATATTTCAATTGGTTGAGATAGTTTTAGATTTGTATAACATGTTTGGGGGTGGATTACAGTTGAGCATATTAATATAAGTGTTTTCTGTATCTAAAAAATGAACAAAGCTGTATCCAGTTCCACTCAAAGCGACTTCCTATTTAAATATCTCTTTGCTATTGTAGAGTAATTTGTTACTTTTATTATTAACTCATATTTCAATATCATATGGAGGCAACAATCAGACTGGATTATCTTTTTTTTGGTGTGTGGTATACAAATTTAGGAGAAATACATCTGCAGCTCTTTGAGGTGTTGCTAATACCATTCTAACCAACATACATAGGTGTAAGAGATGAAATATTATATTGATTTTAGTGTGAAACCTGTGGCCTCTTTTGTAGCCACCTTTTTGTATTTCTTGCCATTTATGTTTTTGGTAGCATTAGAAAAATGTCAAGTTTGTCTTGGTACCACATTTTCACGTGTATATTAGAATTTGTTCCATGAGCTAAATGGTCTCCTACATTAAAATCCACTAGAGATTTTATTTATTTTTGGATATTTGGAATGGCTTTTCTGCTAACCTTCTTCATTGTGGCTTGACCTAGAGTGTACCTAGATGGAAGCTGCCTTTCCTAGGCTGTTATGCGCTGCTAGAAGTTCAAGGAGGTGTTGAGTTTCTGCTGCTTCCAGATATCGTCTGAATTTCTGATTGGCTTTCTTTTCTGTTAATACTACTTAAAGGTTGCAATTACCTCAGTAAATTTAATCTCCTTAATTTACACACTTTAGGAGCAGGGGACACTGGGAAAGGGGATGCTACACCAAAAGAAAGTTGCATGGAAGGTTCTTGCATCATCCTAGAAATGGATTTTTTGTGGAGCTACAGGCTGCCCAAATAGTGACCTTTCTGGGGTGATGCTGGGAAACAGGCCCACTGCTTGTGGCCTTTCTGCTCTGTAGTCCAACACGCTTTGTTTTGGGAGTGGATTGGACATGGGCCTAATATATGGTCTCCCAGAAGAGGCTGTGTTTTACTGGATGTGGGGAACTGAGCATCACAAATTGACTTTTTAGGTGTGGTTGGTATTCTTGTTGGCTACCAGTTCAAGCAGCAGGAGTGGAAGAATAGGAAAACAGATACAGAAAGGGGGGAAGAGTTTGTGGAACCCATTTGTTTCAGCCTGGCTAGTAGTCAGTGCTGGGAGAAAATAATAATGATTCAAACCAGTGATTTAGGTAGGAAGAGATTCTTGAACTGCCAGCCTCTCCTAAACTTTCTGCTTCTGCAGTGAACTTTTTATTTCATAGTAGAAAAAGTTGTTTAAAAAGGAAGTTGTTTTTATTAATTTTCTCACTTGAAAAGTATTGCTTGGAATAGAGTTCAATAAAAACATGCTTGCTCATAGCTTAGTTTTGAACAAATTTATTGTATGTCATTTTACTTGTTAGAAGTTGCTTGTGTGGGTGAGTTTTGTGTAGGCTTTTGACAGCTCTTTTGTAGCAAAACTTTTTCTTACTTCCCCAGTTCCTTAAAGAGTGAACAATAGTGCTTTTTGAAAAATAAATCAGTAAATCACTTGAAATGAAAACTTAGTTTGTGCCAATTGGGCCATCTCCTGAAATCTTTATTTGGGCAGAAAGCATGTTTTCTTCAATAGCAACTGTTGAATTTTTGGATTTGGTTCTGTGTCAGAAATTCAATCTGTATTTATGTGGGGAGCAGCGGGAGAGGAAGAGAGAGGGGGAAAACACCTTGGTTTGAGACCTGAGAGGTAAGTGAAAGAGGGCATGGCTTCCACACCTCTTATTCTAAAATGTGCAGATCTCATCCAGTTTTTGAGCTTGGAAAAATGTTTGCTTTATTTTAGATACAAAACCCCCAAAAGGCTCTGAAAGCTGGGTCTTCTGCTTAAGCCCAAATATGCTTTGTTATCTCTATCTTGGTATTTGTGAAGCTTCAAGGAACAGAAACCATATAAAATGAGCTCTTTGCCATCCACAGTTTAGTCCTTATTCTTGATAAAGTCTACAGTAATTACTGTGGTCCAGCTAAACTTGTGGTACAAATGGAGCACAGCAGAGGTTACTTTGCACTTTGGTGTTAGTTAAAGCAAGCCTCCAGCAACCCATACCTACTGTGATCCCAAATGAGCCGTTCCACAAACTACAAATAGGCAGTGCTCTAATTGTCCTATACTGGATGCTGGATAACACAAAGGGACTTCATACATACAGAACTAAGCAGTTTCTTTGCAAAAGGGTATTGACAGAGATGCTTCTCTCTCCAAGTTTCATTCATGGCACTGCCTAGTATTTCTCTTTTTCCCATGACAAAGCTCCTGGCATCAGGTTGTGAGGAGCAGGAGAAGCAAAGAGCAATTGTGTTAACCCAGCACATACAAAGACTCCCCTTACAGTGGGGAAATTTCCTCTGAGTCACTTAAGAAAGTGTTATGATTCCTTTATGTTGGAAAGGCAATAATAAAGGATCATAATGAGCCTTATGCACTGGTACAGTTCCAAGAGTTATACCAGTGGTTTTCAAAATGTGTTGTGCAGAACCCTAGGGCTAGGGACAGACATTACACACATCTGGTTTAAGTGATCAGAAACTGGTTTAACCCTGTAATAGAACAGATGTTCAGTGCACATAAACCAGTTGGAAAATGGCTGAAACTGGCTTGAAATGAACCTGCTTGAATGTAGTACCAGACTTAACTGATTTGGCTCAAACCGGTTTATGCAATGTCTGTTCCAGACCCCTTGCTGGTTTAAGATAAACCAGACACCTCCAGCATCCCAACATGCTCTCTGCTGGGCTCGGCGGGGCTCTCTGCTCCACTGCAGGGCTGGCCCCTCCTCTCTGCTCCCCAGCCTGAGCAGAGACAGAGGTCTGGCCAGAGAGAGGTTTAATTCCCCACTCCCTGTGCCACCAGCAGAGACCTATCTAGACGCAAGCAGTTTGAGGGACCACCCTAACATATCAAGGTCTGCATCTGAATCCAGAGAGTTGGCAGCTGAGAGCACATTGCTGCTGCTTTTGATTTGCATGCTGCTCAAGACTAGCCTTTTTGGGTTTTATGATATTCATTTCCTATATCACATGATGACTTTTGACATTCACAGCCAATCTTCTGTTATAAATGCTCAAGAGTTGGGAATTAGAACATCCACTACTAGCGTCAAGGCTTCTTATTCACGTGTGGCTTAAACAAATAATTTCCTTGACAAAAACAGTTTTTGATGATGACCACAGCATGTCTAAATAGTTGCCTTTACTTGTTGAGAGCTGCACAGGGGACCTTTTTTTATCAGTTAGCTCATACTTCTGTTATATTTTGAGTGCAGTTTATAATCATTTCTTGAAAACAGCCAGTGGTGCAGGTGGAACAAGTGGTGCTTGAAATGTTTCCGCCGTACTCTGTTACTGATCATACTTTATGTTCGAGCTGAGAGAGTCATCTGGCCTATTTTTAATCATAGAATCAGCAGAGAATTGCTTAAATTTGCACTCCATGTACATATGTCTATCACAATATATACCAATATTTTTGTGTCTGACTTTTATTTTGCTATTAGTACTTAAAAGGTGCTAATTTTCAGTCCAGATAATGTTTAAAAAATATATTGTTGATATATTTGCTTAAAAACTTATTACTGTAATATGATTTACTGATTTCCAGATGAAGTCAGTGGAGCCGTGCAAATGCTTTGAAAGTAAAGTGTGCGTTTTATTTTTTATTTTTTTTTCAGTAGTACGATACTCCAGGTGCTAATACCATAAACATGACCTAAGAGCCTAGATGGATGTTTGAATTTTCTTACAAACTGAATGATTTCTTTGTCATATTTCGTGTTACCACATGACAACAATCAGTATATTTGTATTCAAGTTCCTCTTTGGATAATAAGCTGGGACAGAGGAGGCAGTTTGCTTTAGCTTGCTGAATTGATTTTTTCCCATTTTGTTCTTTGTGGGCAGATGGAAAGAATGGAAAGAAACAGAGATCTTAGTTTGCAGACACGGGGCAACATGGAGCAGTCCTTCACTGTTAGTTCATTGGTAGGTATTATAATATGATGCTCAAATAAATTATTACCTCCTATTTCAGAACAGCAGAGTAAATTATACCATTGAGTGTAGTTCAGGTGTATTGCCTGCCAGTTGAAATGTTTTTCCACTGTTTTGTCTCCTGTCCATTTGTTCTTTACCCATTTGCTCCCTAGTCCGGGGCATTTTAAATTTACATGAAAATAAAAAGTATACTTGATTTGTTAGGTTGCTCTCTAACCTGTTTTAACTATTATCTCCCTCCATTTTTAAATCTACAAAGACTGAAGCCTTTAAATAAAAGAAGAAATTGTTTCTCAGCATAGTAATTCCTTTCAGAATAGCATGAGAGAAAATTAATTGCATTTTGAAATGTGGCTTCATTGTCTATTGCTTTGTTTATTAATATTTATGTTCATTGTTTAGATATATAAGATTAATACTGAAATGAGGTATTGATTTGATTCTGCAATCAAGCTGAGCCCAAGAGTAAGCACCACAATCATTAGGAAGAGTTTCTAGCATCAGGACCTAAATATAATATGTTCAGTTCCTATAGATAGGACCCCTTGTGGGGGATTCATATCTTAGGAAATCTAGGAGGCTGCCCTGGCAGGATTGTTCTTGCATTTCTTTGAATCCTTATCTTTATTTCTTTATTTGTTTTTTCACAATATTTAAATGTTGAGGGGTTTTTAAATACAGTTATTTTATCATTTATAAAGTAACCGAAGAAGCGTGTTAGAAGCTTTTCATTATTGCCAATACTTGGGGTACTGGAGTTTTTTTGTTGTTTTCTGTTGTTTTTAAAAAGTTAAAAGTTTTCCCCAGGTGTCTTGAAAAAAGAAATTTGTGAATGAGGTGGCCCCAGCCAGACTGAAGTGTAATCTCTGATGTCTTGACTGTTTTGCAGAAGAAGCTAACTGCCATTCCTGACCACACAGATGTTTCTGTGACCCCAGAGGAGCGAGTTCGTGCCTTAACCAAGCTTGGCTGTAATATCACAATAAATGAGGATATTACTCCACGTCGCTACTTCAGATCTGGAGTAGAGATGGAACGAATGGCATCTGTATATCTTAAGGAAGGAAACCTGGAGAATGCTTTTGTATTTTATAATAAGTTTATAACGTAAGACAGTCTCTTATGTTTATAGTTAATGATTGTGATGGATAGATGGATATAATGAATTGCTACAATGAAAATGTGGCTCAGGAGTCCACCTGTCTAAAATTTGGAAAAACCATTAATAGTTTTCTTACAGAATATCTTTGTCCTTCTGAGATCTTTATGCTAATCAGTTCCTCTGTCAGGCCTCTTGCTAATACCTAGTGTAGCTGTCCCATCTGCCTATTCACTACTAGTCCTGGTTTATATCTAAAGTGCTATGTTTGTTTTTTATTCTACCAAGCTAAGATGTGAACTCTACTGGCTGTCTTATTTTCTGTTTATATGCACGTGATAAAAAAGAGACCACCAGAGGCTTCACAAGCTCACTTAGCTCAATTTGTAAGCTTTCCCTGATGAACACCCTTAGCATCAGTGCAGTCAAAAGACTGGTTTTTTTCTTGCACTCAGGCAAACCATACAAAGGGGCTTATTGCCTCTTTTCCTGCTGCTTTTCCACAAAAAGGTTAGGTAGAATTTATCCCATAATTTTAAAAAACTGCAAAATGTACTGTACATGCCCAACATGTGATTTTTTTTCTCTTCTTCCTCCCAAAGATTTAAAAACAAATTACACTATAGCAATCGAGAGACTTCTTAATTGAGAGCTGTTTCCATAACAGATTAAAGCTTTCTAATCAGCCATTTTGTTTCTAGAGCTTTTCAAGTTAATATATTAGAAATCTGATGGGACTTTTTTCCCTTCATTCTGTTCATACTCTCAAAGTATTATAGCTGAACCCTTTTTGTTTAAACCTTCTAAAACATTTGGGGATGATAGAGGAACTAAAGATTTCTAGCCTGGAAGGTGAACTTTTCATAATACTATGGTTGAATGTAAACAGGGGTCGTGTAATGCATTCTACATATACAATAGTGTTTGGTGGTGTTGGTGTTTTAATAATTTAGATGTCTAGACAAGCCGCCCATTGTTATAACTCACAGCACAACTTACTCTGATCAGAAGGTTGCATTAATACGTCAGTGTAGTATGCCTGATCTCATGAAATTATGCCTTTTACTTAAGAAAAAGGAAGTGAAAATGAGGGTGATCATCAGATTTTGTTACAGAGATGAGCTGTTGTACAGCCTGGAGACTTCTGGTGCCATGTATAGTCCTTTTCTTGTATATCACTAATGAAAAACAACAAAAAGCCTTTATCTATCAAAAATTATGTATCCATACAACTCCTTGCCAGCATGTCAGTGTAAGTGTAGAAATATAGAAAATATCTATGAATCAAAATGGAATACAGTGTTTGATATCTGTGATTTGTGAACCTTATTTTTCTTTCAACTTAAAAGCTACCATGGATCTTCATCTGGCTAATAAGGCAAAAACATGTGCATGCTTAATTTTCCAGCTTATTTGTAGAAAAGCTGCCCAATCACCGAGACTATCATCAATGTGCAGTACCAGAAAAACAAGATATTATTAAGGTATTACTTTTTCTTAAAATTTCAGAAATTTCTCTCCCAGTACAACCGATGGATGTTTCCCAGCATGCTTTTTCCCTGACTGCAAAATGTTGCACTCAGTTGGTAAAACAGTGTTTGACCTACTAGTTCTTAACAGCATTGTGTATTGGCCATAAATTTCTCATTTAAATTTAATAGCTTGATCATGGCTGGAATTCTGAAGACAATTTGCTTTTATTCATTACAACCAGTGTATGCACTCTTTGAAGCTCAATTAAAATCTCTTAAGAGTTATGTATATTTTTAGATATGCTGATTTAATAATACTTAGGATCTGATTCCACTTCCATTTAAGTGATAGCTGCTGCCTGGCCCTCTTACTGATAAACATATAGGAATTTGTGGTATTATTATTATTATTAGATAGGCTCGTTAACCAAAGTATATTCTCCTTTAACAACAAAATATGTATTCTATTTTACATTTGCATTTTTACCAAAGTATGCTTTTGCCTGCTACTGTACTGGTTTAATTATACTTCTATTACTGCAGGAAAGGGCAATTATTTTGGGCGGAGGGTTGCTTACTGAGTTTTGGCAAGCCATCGAGGGCTGCATGACAGGCAAGCCAGGGGCAGATAAATATTAATTTTCTAAATTTTTTAGGGGCCCCGTGGGCTGGATAGAATGGCCTGGTAGGCCACATCTGGCCTACGGGCTGCGTTTTACCCACCCCTGCATTAAAGGAAAAAAAAATTAAAGTATCTGTTTCTGAATTTAAAACACATAGAATTATCCCAAAAATTTTCTGAAACATGGAAAACTGTCTCCCTATCAGAAGCCTGTGCATCCTGCTGCTCTGCAGTGATTCCTAAGTGATTCAGGAAAGGTACATGTTGTTGCCTACTTTATAGTCAATGACATCTCTATGCTGGACGGATTATACTTAAATCTGCTAAAATGCCACATTGATTGGGTTTGGGTGAGGTTCTCCAGTTTATTTTGGATTATTTTTACACTTTTTTTCTCCCTGACTGCACATCTAGATAGTTTCTTGCATTCAGTAGGACTGCTTGCATGAGTAAAGTTAGCAGCCAGATGGCATTCAGACTTTTTCAAACTTCAGTTTCAGGGAGATTGAAAGTGGTCGGGAATTTTGTCAAATTTGAATAACAGTTTTTGTCAAAAGAAAGAAGAATTACAAATACCAAATGCTCTGATTTTAAATTTTGAAAATACATTTTCATTTTGGAATTAGTCAACAACTTTAAAAAAAGTGGGGGGGGATTAAAATCCCCAAGCAAAACTGCACATTTACTTTTACGTTAATGTTTGTTTATTTCAGTTTTCTTTCTCAGGAAAACTGAAGAATCTTTTTTTGAGTTGACTTGGAATGAACTTTTCATTTTTGTTCGGCTTCCAATTCTTTCCATTAGTTCAAGTTTTTTTTAATTACGACCCTTTTGATGACAAGAACCTTGCTTCAAATTTTTATTCTGCTGTGGACCTTAATTCAGGAAAACTTTTCTATTGAGAAAACGAAGTATGTACATGAGAACTGTTGGAAACCAGTGGGGTTTAAGTACGTACTTCAGTGTTTTCCTTAGTAATGGTCTTGAAATGGTCCTGCAGGGGATTGTGGGAAGACCCAAACAGCTGATTAGAGCCTGTTGACTTCAGTGGGGCTCGGCAACGACCTTTTACAGGCCAAAACGGTGGTGAACACTAGACACAAAAAAGCATGTCAACCCAACCCAGTGCCATGATGTGTGGAGACACTATTGCTAGCTCTGAATGAGCAAGCTTGGGTGCTGGAAGTGATCTTCTTGCCCTGCTGAGAATCAGGGTGTACTTGCCTTTCCTGTGCTCAAACTATTGATTGGTTCCTCAGTTGGCAACAGTTACCATTGCTTTATTGAAACCAGTGTACTGTGCCAGTGTATTCTAGTTGATAATCTGGCTTTATTTGGTTTATACACTTTGAAAAGAGGTTTATTATTCAATTTATTTAATTTCATTTTGAAATGATTGAAGCTGAATTTGTATTACAGCTGGTTTACCTGCCCAGCTGATTTTTTTTTTGGAAAGTGAAAAAGCAAACTTACATTTTTTTCCCCCCACAAAAGAAACTAAAGGAGGTTGCATTTCCAAAGACAGATGAACTGAAGAGGGATCTTTTAAAAAAATATAACATGGAATACCAAGATTACATGCAAAGCAAAGTAAGTTTGATCCAAATTCAGTTTAATTTAAAGCATTATCTGTATGTTTGTTTGCTTATATTTAATATTTTTATAAACATCATCATTCAAATGAGAAAAGCAGTTGTGTGAGCAAAAATGTAAAAAAAATTATGGCCATGTAATTGAGAAACTATTCAAACAGCCTCTCTCTCTCGAACCTTTAATAAATTGGCAGTTGTGTGGGTATTTAGAAGTAAGTAATTGATAAAACACTTCTGTATTTTATACAGTTAGTCAATAGCCAAATATGCCTTTTATCTGTTGTGATAAATATCTCGTTGTAGTTTAGTACACTTGTCTGTTATTTGAAAATCTAACGTGCTGCATAGGAACTAATATGAATGTGTGGAAATGGCTTTATTCTGAAAATAAAAATGAAGTTAGAGCATAATAGAATGGGGATACCCCTGACTCCTGGCATAAATCATGGTGTTGTGGAAGATATACACAGTTAAGCCAGGTTGGTTGATCCTGTGGGGGTATACACCTAATTGCAAAGCATGTATAGATCTGCTTATACCTTGTGTAATAAAATTACTGGAAAAGTGTTTGTAGCTTAAAAATTTGTCTGTAGTGGAGCTTCTGGAATTTGCTAGAGGAATCCATGTTCCTGTTCATACGCTGAATCCATGTCCTATTCAATATATTTCTTAATTTAATACCATTAAGTATTTAATTCAAATTGTTATTGGATTGGGAAAATTTGGGTGATGGCTCTAAACAGAGGTGGAAAGGAACCTGGAGAGTCCCTGCAATTCGCAAAATAACTGTTGGTCCTTAGGAGTACAATAAGGACCTACATGGCAGAGACAGAACAACGCACAGTATAGAAAAATGCATCCAAAACAAAGTTAAGCCTCCTGGGCTGGGGACCAGTTCAAGGAAGTTAGTGAGTTATAGGAGGAAAAAGGCAAGAGCAAAGACAAAATAAAATAAAACAAGCAAACTAATCAGCCACAACAAACAGCAGAACCAGAGAGAAAGGACTAGAGAATGATTGGATTTCTCACGCTGTTCTAATAAGGGCCTCTTCTTTGTATCCCTCATCTCAACAAAATGCCTTTTTTTAGGCTCTTATTTTTTTCTGGTGAGGTATAAGTTGTTCAAGGCCAAATGCTTATTACTATTGAAATAAATATATACAATATCAGGGGCTGTGCAGAATGGAAATCTTGTGGTAACAGTCCCTTATAATATATGCTGTACTATCTTAGAGCATTTCTAATGGTACAACTTTTTGCTATTTTGACTGTTGTATTCCAACAGAGTCATTATGGTTTAATAATAGCAGGGCTAGGAGGAGTGATTTAACTAATCTGTTCACTAGCTTGCCCTTCACTGTTTTGTGGTTCTTTTTTAGTACTGTGGAGAGAATTTGACCACTCCGTTTATCTGCTTTCCAGAACAAATGTAAAGCTGAATATCTAAAGAGACTGGAGCATGAGAAATTGATAGAAGCAGAAAAGAAGCGAATTGCACATATGCGACAACAGCAGCTTGAGTCAGAACAGTTTCAGTTCTTTGAAGACCAACTTAAGAAGCAAGAACTAGCCCGAGATCAGAAAGTTAAAGAGAATATGTTTATGTCTGAACAGATTGATGGGAGTATGCTGTCTTGCATTTCTACACGTCAGAACAACTCCTTATCTCCCTCATTATCAGAGAAAGTTAATCAGAGTGAGACATCTGTCTGTGCTGGACAGTCTCCTCCAGTAAACCGGGCCTTCAAGCCAGTAGCTACTTTAAGTGCTGTTCAAAGTAAGTGCCTCAGTCTTTTGCAGTCCTCCTCTGCCTCTCACAATTTATTTCAAAATGCACACAGGAATATGTCTTTCATTGTAGAGTTTATCCTAACATGAAGAACAAATGTTTCTGGAGTACTTGTATATGAATCCACCATTGTTTTCTCCCTTGAAATGCATACTTACTGTACATTGACCCATATGGTATCTTAAGTGCCTAAAAACCAGATCTGCAGATATTAACCTAAATTAGTGTCACTGAATTCAATCAGAATTTTGCCATATACTCAGTGGGAGCAAAACCAGGTCCATGGTGACTGCATTTTTTAGAGGTTTGGAGGTTTTTCATTTTTGTTTTTGTACTAAATACAGTCTAGAAGCTAACAGTTCGTTTTTTTTACAGAATGCAAGTTGGTTAACTTGTTCAGGATTCATATGTCTTCAACAGAAGAAAGATTATAGTGTTGTTATGCCTCCAGAATCTCTTATTCTTATCTAGAAATTGCATGACACACATTGCACTTTTCATTTAAAAATTCACAACTATTGTCCCATTCAGTTGATTAACTATGTACATGTTTTCCATTAGAAAATTTTACACTGAAGGCTAAATTATATTTTTCTCCTCTTTTAGCACAAGTGGCTGAAGCACTTCGAGGTGTAGTTTTACCCAGAGACCTTTGTCCAAAATTTCTATCACTAGCCGAGGAAAATACAATAAGAGGAATAGAAACATGTGGAATTCTCTGTGGAAAACTGGTACAGTTAAACCTTCACATTTGTATGGGGAAGGCACTTTTGATAGTACTGCATTTTCATGTAAGGAACTGATAACAGAGCAAAAGCAGATCTAAAGCATAAGTGTGTAGTGTAATTAATATTATGACCTAACTTTATGGGCCTGTCTGTAATTCTTTTTGAACTGTAGTCTACTATTTGCCTTTTTGCAGAATTAATTGATCAATGTACCTTATAGTCATTGTGATGATGTATTGTTGATAATCTTGTATCTTGCTTACAATTGTGGGATTTTTCAAGCATTTTCCATGGTGTTCATCAAAAATAAATAAGAATTAGTTGCACGCAACAACTGGATATGTAAAAATGTTAGAGTGTATTGCTGTTGTCAAATTCTAAAAAAAATACTTTGTCAGCATATAAAGCAAAATTGTTGCTGATCTTTTTTTTGCTTGTGTTGTACTCACTTAGTTTTGCAGGAGTACTTAATTATCAAACTTCCCTCACAGGAAAGAAGATGCCACTACTTGTGCCTGCATACATGCAGGAGTATAGAAGAGTTTCAAAGCTGATATCAAATAGCAGTAGAAACACAAACGCCAATATTGATAAAAACTGAATTTATTTATATCCAGGTTTCAAAGAAAGTGATTATAATATTCATGTTACCTGCTTCCATATTTTGGAAAAAGTATTCCTTTTAACATTTTCCTATGCACACCCATGTCAAGTATATTAACATTCCTGTGTTATCTATTACAGTGAAAAAATCCATAGACATAGGCTCAGCTGGTATAAATCAGCAATGCCTCATTCAAATTCATGGAGCCACACTACTTTATCAGCTAAGAATCTGGCCTGTTGATTCCCTACTGAGCATTGTTCATTAATCCATTTGTTCATCTCTTAATTCAAGTCATCTTCCCATTATGTGTTTTACAGACACACAATGAATTTACTATTACCCATGTAATAGTGCCAAAGCAATCTGCAGGACCAGACTACTGTGACATGGAGAACGTAGAAGAATTATTCAGTATTCAAGATCAGTATGATCTCCTCACTTTGGGTTGGATCCATGTATGTATGTCTCAAGGATTTTGGTTTTACCGTGTTGCATGCATATGCTGTATTAAACCAACCCCAGAAATATCAGACGAAGCAAATAATTTTCATGATCTAAACCTGTTTTCTTGCCTAGTTTTCATGTTGACAGTGTAAGTTGACTGACAACATCTGTGGATGACATTTATTATTTATTCATGAGTTATTTATTCAGTGAGTTATTGCATTAACTTACCGAGCTCAGTTCTGCCACTGATGCTTCTGTTTCGCTCAGGGGCAGGCAAAATTATGGCCTGATGACTGGATCTGGCCCACTGAGGGATTTTGTCCAGCTTTGGTTCTGCCCAGCCCAGCCCAGGCACAGGGGGCAGCCTGGGCTGTGATGCATAAAGCCAGTCCTGCCACCCCCAGGCACGCAGCAGGGCTGGGAAAGTGAGGTGGCTGGACTCGCTTCCTGCTGCTGCTGCCACTGGACCCAACTCTGCTGCCTGGGCACTCTGGCCCATCCACCCTGCACCCACCACCAGGGCAGGACCCACACAGGCAGGGCATGTGGCTAGGCAGATGGGATGGGTCTGCAGTCAGGCAGGGAGCAGTGTTTGGGAGCAGGAAAGATGAGCAAGGGCAGGATCTTGGGGTCGTGACAACGTGGAGCCAGGGCTGGGACAGCCATGATCCCCTACGCACACACCGTGTCACAGACACAGGTTATGTGAGCAGGGGCTTGCAGATTGTGGCTCTGCCCTGGGCCCCCACCCCATGCTGTCACTGCCTCAAGATCCCCGGACCCAGCCCTGGACACAGCTCCCTGCCTGCCTGCGGCCCTATCCTGTCCGCCTGGCCACTTGCCCTGTCCATACAGGTCCTGTCCAGTCTCCATAGAGGCCCTGGGATCACTTGGTAGTGACAACATGGGGGCAGGACATGAGGCAGAGCCATGATCCACTCCCCACATGCCCCTGCCTGCAGGACAGGTGCCTGTCGCAGGGGCGTGCAGGCAGTGGCTCATGGCTTGGCATCAGCCCCAGTCCTGCACTGCTACCAGCCCTGCTCGCCCGTCCCATTCCTGGATGCTGCTCCCCACCCATCTGTGGCCCTACCCAACCAAGCACCCCAGGAGTTTTCATAAGCTGTTGTGGGGGTAGGGGGTGCTCACCCAGCTTGCAACAGCTCACCAAACTCCATTTGTGGCTTGCAGCCCAAATAATTGCCCATCCCTGGCTTAGCTCAACAGGAGCTGTATATATATATATGGAGGCAGGATAGGGCAGTGTCTGTTCTCAAGGGCAATTTCTTTACATTTGTTTCCTATTTGAGATGTATTTCAGCAAGGAGAAGGGCAAAAACTTTGCTATTGCTATTCATTTTTATACAGGACCCACAAATAGTACAATCATTTGTAGCAATATAAAATTCAAAATATGTAAGAGAAGACCATATTCCTCGCTGAATTTATATGTATTTTCCTCCAGGTTTTCAAACAGTGGAATTAGGAAAAAATAGTATTAGGCATTATTAGTTTTCTTCAGAGAAGGTAAAATGATTTTTCAAAATCCATACAAAAAAATAGAATTGTGCTTTAATTTAAAGATTCTTTTTTTAAATTGTGTCAATGAAAAAAATTAAGATGGCAAATCCACCAAGAAGCAAGCAGGCAAAAGAAGTTTGAGGCTTTCTTTTATTAGAGTATCTCTGGATTTTTTTTTTTTTTTCCAAATCAGTTAATATGACATTCCATCGACTTGTCAAATCAAGACCTAAACCTAATCAACTGTGGAAATAAGTAAAACACTTAACTGGTAACTGTCCAATCCCTAATGTGTTATGGTTTGGATTATTAATGGATAAGTAATATCTGACCTCTTTGGAGTGTGGAGGCCTGGTTTTTATTTTCCTTAAATTAGCATGAATTGGGAACAACTCCCCTGAAAGGCAGGGGAAGTGAGATCAGGATCAGACCGCCAATATAGAAAATACCCGTTTGCTGTTACCTATACATTTGCATTAGAACCAAATGGCAATGATATGAAAAGAAATTTTTGTACATAGTATCAATCTGTCTTATTAAGTTTGAATAGTCGTGCTTCAATTTTTCCATAGGTATTAATTTGTTACCCTCTAATAGCACTTGTAAGTGTTTACACTCTACCAATATTCATTATTTAATGTATGGCCTGGCTTTAACACATGGTGAAAATTGAAATGATGTCATTTCCACACTCTCTTCACTATTTTCCCCCACATGTTTTCATTCTAGGATCTTTCCCTTTAGTCAGAACATTAATCAGATGCAAAAGCAATGTAAAATTTCCACTGAGTTTGCTTTCATCAACCAGGCGTCACAGATGTATTCCTGAGACTGTTGTATCTGGGTTGTGTTTGATTTAGTCATTCATGATAATTATCCTCTAAAGTGTGTTGGGCTGGGAAAAGTTTAACATTTAATAGCAAATTAAAGGAATTGAATGCCAATACTTTTTCCCTAGTAACTAATTCCTGTTTTTTCTTGAATGTATTGTGACCTTGATTTGTAAGAAATATTTTTACTGTGTAGAACTTTCCCTTTCTTTTTGTAGACTCATCCAACACAAACTGCATTCTTATCCAGTGTTGATCTTCACACTCATTGTTCCTATCAGCTAATGTTACCAGAGGCTATTGCAATTGTTTGTTCACCAAAGCATAATGAGTGAGTTCTGTTTTTCTAAGTAATATTTAGCTATCTCTTCCACCCCACTATCTCAGAACTAGATTACATATAAAACAGTCTCTGAAGGTCGAACAGGGTGAAGGGCAAGAACAGTTCTAATATATTTGGCTTCTTTTCCCTGTATTGTCAAGTTGATCTTGATATGTATTCCAGTAAGATCTATAGGCAGTATTCATTCTTGCTTCAGTTTTCCCCCTTTAATATTAAAATTCTGTAAATTCTTACAGAATTCTTATGACAGCAGTTGGCTGTGGCAGCTGCAGCCCTTTTGGATCTTATTTGTCAGTGATTTAAGAGTCCCAACTCCACTGTTTGGTCAATCAGGTGGGAGTATGAAAATAGAAATACAGTGTAGAGTTATAATGTTTTATACACATTCTTTTTCCTAAATAGTTAATAAACAGCGCAGATAAATTAAAACAAATCATTTTAAGCTGATGTTAATATGGGCTCAGATTATTACAGATATTTAGGCATTGCTCAATGTAATTGTAGGGTACAGAGCTAAAATCCACAGAAACTAAGGCTCTAGTGAAGCTGGATACTAGGCAGTCAAATGTAAAAGTCAAAGGGAAGAAAAGCAAGCAAGAGGGATTGAGGTAACCTAGGGTCTTTGTGTTAGGGACAAGTATTTTTTGCCATTAACCTATTGGGAAAAAGGTAATGGCAGTAACACCACATCATCTTCTAGTGAGCTACATGTATGCTCTCCTTGTCACACAGTTACTTTCAGTACTCTGTCCTCTAAGAAATCAGGACTTTAGGTGCCTCCCCACAATGATTTGGATCGTACCAGAGTATAGGTGGCAGTGAGGTACCAGGTGGCTATCCTAGCTCATTTCTGAGCATGTGCAGTAGTCCAAGTTTTGGATTTTTTTTTTTTAGTTGATCAGAAGTTGAGTCATTTTGTGGTCACTAAACAAAATTATTAAGGCTCATGCTTTGTGACTTAGGTGCCTTTATTCTTAAGTTTTGTGCAGGCACCTGCAAGGTTGGTTATTATCTAGCCTCTATTACTTGAGTTTCTGCCAGTAGCTATGTATCCAAGCATTCAAATTCTGATAGAAATGAGCTACTGTCAGGAGACATTTTCAGAGGACTTGTATGGGACTGAGCCTTGTACAAAAGACAGAGTGGAGAGAAACAAGCCCTATTGCCCAATAGCCTTGTTGTTAGGACACTCTACAGGGATGTGGGAGAGCTGAGCTCAAGTTTGTGCTCACAAATTAGGAGAAACACTTTGTATTGGACGTTAGTAGCCTGTTTTAACTAAAACATTGTTTACTGAAGCATGTTGGATGAAGTGGATTTGTTTAAAATGTCCAAGCAAATTCTTTGCATTGCAATTCTTAAATGAGTTTTGTTCTTTGCTTTCCAGCACTGGCATCTTCAGACTTACAAATGCGGGTATGCTTGAAGTTTCTGTCTGTAAAAAAAAGGGCTTTCATCCACATACTAAGGAACCTAGACTATTTAATGTAAGTGTGTTGCATTTAATATAATGGAATGGATTTGGTGTTTTTTTTGCAAGTGCTTAGTACTCACTGTGGGAAGCAATTTCAGGATGGATTTTTTTTATATTTCTCCCCTTGAAATATGCAGATTGTGTATAGCCCATTGTCTTTCCTGACTTATCAGTGCATTCGTAATATCTGCTTCCAAGAGCCATCCATTTCTGCTATTTGCTTCTTGCCACTGTTTGGGAGGACGAGTCCAGTAAATATCATGGACCATTCAATAGAAACCTGTGGGATATGCTATCAGCTAGAAAAGGAACGTTTCCCACATTAGCTCTTTGGAAGCTCTCTGAACAGGTGGCCCTCCCTCTTCTCCACCCCCACTTCCTTTCTCAAAGCTGGCCAGGTTGGCCCTCTCCAAAAAAAACCAAAGGCTGCACTGAAGTTTTCTATGACTAACAAAAATTCAAACTGGATTCTCCCACCTGGGACCTCTGAGAAATATGCACTGCTGCTGACTAACCTATGAAGGTTAAGTGTGTTTAGACTAGGCACTTGCTTCTCCCTACTTTCCACCAGTCCCCTCAAAGTTAATTCTAGTAACCACAAAATAGTTTTTCTGTTTGGCAGTTTAAGGCTCTACCATGCTGTTTGCATGACTGAACTGTTAATAATGAGAATCTGCGAATGAACAATACATAGTTATTAATCATTACCACAAACAATACTCATTTGGTTATTTGAAAGAAAGCCATCTTTCCTTATCTTAGCATAATTCACAAATATGGTAATAGGGCTCTTTTGTCTTTATTTGTAAGTAACCATTGAGAAATAAGAACCAATAAGGTTACTATACTTATGCCTAAAGATAAAATGCCAAGAGATGGGGAAAAGTCTCTCCCTTTTGGAGGGGTAATGGAATAAAGAGGCTAGACACCAGACCAAGTGTCCTTCAGGGTGGAGTTTTCAAAAGTTAGGCACTGGCCTAAGTTTGTTCTGATCAGAAATAATCATAGTTTTTCCATGGACTCCATTGAGACTAAAGGTAATTTAGTGATGAATATCTTAAGTGGCTTGAGTTCTGTTCTGTTATCCTGGCTGTTGTCCATAGGTTTTACAAGAGTGCTTATGTCTGATTAGAGCCACGTAATCCATTCCATTCTCTATAGCAAGCATCAAGCAAACAGCTGGAATCACAGCATATCGCAATACAAAAAAAGTAGTTAATTCTATAATCTTATAAATTGCCTTTCAGCATTGCCAGTCTGTCATGTTCTCAAGAGAATCTGAATCCTTCAGAGTGGGTGTCTGTGCTCTGTAATATTTTGTTAGTCAAGAAAAAAGGGTATACCTAATATACGACATTTCAGAAGGGCCTGTTCAAAGTCTAGTTTATGAGTTAAAAAAAAAAAGTCTGGCTGTTTCCAAACATGCTTGGACCTTTGAGGCTAAATTGTTTTTTAAGGCACCAAGAACATTTTTACACATGCAAGCCCTGCAGCGCTGGGTGCTTTGAAAAGCACCCAGTGCTGCATCGCTTATAGTTGTATAAGCGGCAAAATATTCTGTGCGTCAGTGTGCCCAAAATGGCGGCAGTCCACTTTTGAACTAAAACGCATAAAAGTGTTTTAATTTAAAAGCACACTGCCTCCATTTTATCCACACTACAACTGCAAGCAATGCAGTGCTGTGTGCATTAGCTTGCGTGCAGAGCAGATTTGATTAATCAAGTCTGCTCCAATGCGCTGGATCTCTGGCACATCCAGCCATGAAAATGTATGTGTAAAATGCCCCAAGAAGCGAAGTGCTAACTGCACCCGTCCAGCCATAGTCTTAGGAGATGTGTTGCCTCAGATATCACTATGAAAAATAGAAACTACCCTCTCTGCCTATATGCTCCCCACACAAGCTTGGTTGTGTCAGAGGTTACTTTGTTTGGGAGAGGTTAGAGTGTAGGTTTCTATCACTTCAAGCCTCCACCCTCCTGTTCCATGTGAGACAGTATGTTCACAGCTTCCACTGCGAAACATGGTCCCAGGCAGTGTGTACTAGGGCATAAAGAACTATCGTATGTATCAAAATTTTACTCCTACGCACTAAGGTCTTCTTTTTTAATTTCACAGGTGTAGCTATTTTTCTGTTCAGCTTTCAGACTGAACTTGTGTATTAACAGGCAAATGACAGAGGCAAGATCACTTGTACATACAGGAATTATATAAAATAGTCTTGCATGTGTAATAAGAAATCATAAACCATCCTGTTTCACTCAAGTTGAATTTAGCAGTGAACAAAAGTTGTTGCCATTTAATAGGTGTATGGGGACATATGTAAAATGGTTTGGTTGTTTGTAGGCCTGCTGATACTAAACGAAGTATTCCCATCACAAAACCATACTAACAGTGCTGTTTGGCATCCTTATTATTAGCAGCCCCAACAAGGATATCAAGGTATAATATCACCTACAAAAAACTTTTTCTCCCTAGAGGTGGTGTTTACCATGTCCAAATTGATGAATGTTGGCAGAGTAGTGTAAGGACTTGCATTGCTGCCAAGTATAGAATTTCTGCTGATGAATGGAGGATTTTGACCTCCAAGGCTGTTGGTCAGCAGCTTTTAAAAATGACTGGAAGCATTATGCTGAATGAGCCCTGTTGGTCTTCATGGAGAAGAGAATCCAAAAGAAAATCATATAATGTATAGAATACTTCTTTCCTGTTTAGCTTTGGAAATGGAATTGATTATCACCAGTTAATCTCTTATGATAGTCAGACGATAACTACTTTCCTGTATTGGTTGATTTCAATGAGTAATGGATTGATTTCTTCTACAGACCTGTGCCCATGTAGTTGGGAAAGATGTAAAAATAATCATGCTGGATCTAAGGTGATGTGGAAGGAAGATAAAACCTCCTACCTAACAGGTGCCCAAAATAGTAAAAATGGTTGTCATGTTTTCCTACAATGTTTTCAGGAAGGACTGATGTTTTATATTTATATATTTTACATTTAATGATTTGATATTTATTGCTCTTGCCCATTTTGAAGCTGTTTTGTTGCTCTGTCAAGATAGAGTTCAGAATGTCATTAAATCGGGATCTGCAAATGTATCTGAAATAATATGAGACCGCAATAAAGTGAACTTCAAATAACAAATGATGATGCTGATGAAACTGGTACAGTGCTTCTGAGGTCACTTTGCCTTGCATTAACTTCGCTCTGATCTACAGATTTTTAATAATGGCTTGTCATATCTTCCAGGTATGTGGATCTTTAGTGCGTATATATTAGGTTACAAATGTCAATAGGTCAATCTCAGACAGCTTAGGCCATAACTGTCTCCTCACAGCTGCAGAAGTCATAATTTCTTTAATAATTTTTGGACCTTCCAAGACACCCAAGATGAATTTTAGCATGGCTAAGAGATCTGTCTCAGGTTAAAGAGGGGAAGAAGTTTACTAAGTATAAAAATTTTGTTCCTACACAGGAAGCTTCTATAAACATTTGTTAAGATCTCCTGCCTGCTCTCAATGGCTGCACCACCCAGCCCAGCTCCCAGCTCTTTGGAGAAAAAAAAAAAAAAAGCCCCAACTCACCGGGTGCTGCCAGACGGAGGGGCAATCCCCGCTGCCCCCCCACTGCTCCACGCAATGTCAGGGGCTCTGCCATGAGCCCCCTGACCCTTGCCCGCTCCCCCCATGGCTGTTCTTCCCATCCCAGCTCCCAGCCCTTTAAAGAGACAAAAAAAAAAAAAGCCCCAACACACTGGCTCCTGCCTGGCGGGGGGTGATCCTCACCGCCCCACACTGTGTGGGGGGCTCTGTCACGAGCCCCCAGAAGCCCCAAGGCCACTGCAGCAGCCAGTGAATCGTGGGAGGGAGGGGGTGGTGTTTTTTCTTAAAGGGCTGGTGCTGGGGTGGGTGGGGCAGCCATGGGGGGCTGGGGCTGGGAGAGTGGGCGGGGTCAGGGAGTGGAGGGAGGGGGGAGCAGGCAGGGGATGGGGCCTGGCAGGGGTCCTCCCATGGTCCCCTCCCTCCTTCTCCAGCCTCCCTTCCCCCATCCCCTACTTACCAGCTCGAAGTCTGTGTCCAGCTCATTGCTGCAGCCAGCAGGGACTGCCTGAATTCCCGAAGCTCTCCAAATCTTTTCCAAATCAATTTGGAGAGCTTCGAATTGATTCAGACCTTTTTAATTTGACCCCTGATTCGATTTGGATTTGGAGATTTGGCCACTAAATCAGGCTGAATCTCCTCCGAATCAAATCAGCACCCAAAGTTTCGCACAGCTGTACTGCAGTGTCATGGTTTCGCAATGAAAGTCCCAGTCCAGCCTAACTGGAAAAGTTGAAATCAGGAGTGGGCAAAATATGGCTTGTGAGCTGGATCCGGCCCATGGAGTGATTTTCGCCTGGCCTGCAGTGAGTCTCTTAGCCCCACCAGGCAGCACAGGGGCACCCCCGTGCCAAGCCACCCTGCAGCTCACACTGGGATGCCCATGTGCTGGCAGCAGCCTTCATCCCCACCAGCTTGGGGTGGGGTGGTGCGGGGGCAGCAGCAGCCCCAGTGAGATTGCATCTGGGGCCAGAGCCAGGGGCCAGTCTCCATGGAGACAATGTACGGCCAGGCAGGGAGCAGTATCCAGGGCTGGGAGCCAGTCTCCAGGGAGACTGTGCACAACCAGGCAAGGAGCTGTGGAATCAGTGGTCAGGACCCAGCCGGCGCCAGGGGAAGCATGCAGCACTGGGACACCCCTGTTTTATGCCAATCTGCAGCTTACCCCAGGATGCTCATACTGTGGTGGGAGCCCCCAGCCCCTCCAGGTCCTGGCCACTTTTCCAAGTGATGGAGTCGCTGCCAGGTCCACCTCCCTTCCTCCCTTTCCTGTAGGCTGCATACCCTGGGTTGCGGGAGGGGACAGGTGAGTAGGGAATAGGAGGCTAAGTTTTCCCCCACTTGGTGGGCTTGGCCTTGACACGTGACTGTCTCCTGCCCCCTCTTTGTCCGCCTGAGCCTCCTCCATGGGAGTCACAGCCCTCCTCCCTCTATGGGTGCTGCAGCCCCAGTAAAGCTTGGGGGTGGCTTCCAGCTCCACCTTGACTCCATGCTGTCACCACCCCAAGATAGCAGCCCTGGATGCAGCTCCTGGGAGCCATGCAGGCAGTGTGTATGGGTGAGGAATGACCACAGTGAGGAACTGTGGTCAGGGCCAGGGCTGGGATCATGGGACAGTAATAGCGTAGGGCCAGGGTGGGGTAGAGCTGCCCTCTGCTCCCTGGATGGCCCTGCCTGCAGAGCCCATGCCCACCTGTCCTGCTCCTGAGCACAGCTACCTGGAGCTACCACACTGGGAGCTTTTGTTAGTTGTTGGGGTCAGGGGAGGCAGGTGAGAAGGGAGTTGCTGACAGCCTATATGACAGGTTACCAAGACAGCACATGTGGTGCTTGAGCCCAAATAATTGTCAGCTCCTGGTTTAAGTGCACTGCTGAAGTAGCTCCTATAAAGGTAACATTTTGAGCTTTTATAAATGTGCATGGGGCCACTTTTGAGCAACCATTCCTTCCAGCCCTTTGATGGGACCACAAGAGCCCAGTGGGTCAGCAGAGCACAAGAACTATAAATGAAGTACTAATTTGGTACCCACATTCATCTGTTTTTGTGAAAACAGGCAGGACTGGCTTACTGTGATGATAAATTGATGCTTCCATTCCATTAGCATCTCTGAAAATCAAGACTATTCTGTGGGTGTCAGAATGTGGCATGAAAATTAAAATGCTGTACCTGGCAAGTAAAGAGTTTGGACACTAATATTGTACTGTTTGAGTGAATTGTGCTATTTCAAACAGTAGACTAGGGATTCCTAACCAGACTGCAGTGACACCCTGGGGTGCTTTGAGATCCTTTCAAGGGTGCCAGAGGGTGCCACGCAATGTTAGCACAAGTTTACAGCTGTGATTCAGAAAAATTTGCAAATACAAATCCATAGGTATGGTCTTTCTGAGTTCTTTGGCAACAGAAAAAAATGCTCTGCTATTCTTCTGTAGCCAAAAAAGAGTAAAAACTAAGAGCTTGCATTTTCCAAAGGATGCCTTGAGTCTAAAAGGGGTGCCTTGAATGTAAAAAAAGTTGAGATCCACTGCAGTAGGCCTTTTCCCTTTAGTATATTGTTGCTGTTATTATTGCAGTACTAAATTTGGGCCACAAGAGGGTGCATTAAAAGCAATAATAATGAGCCTATTTGAGAACACATACTTTGTAAAAGAAAAGAATTGGCAAGTAGCATATGGGAGATTTATTCAAAAAATACATAGTATCCAAGTAATCAGAGCTCTTATTATGAAAGATGTTGGAATGAAATTATAAAGATGTATTTATTCCTGAATATATTCACAGTAATGTGCTAAAGGGTATATGAAGATAAAGCAATTTAAAAGCATTTGCGGTGAACGATGGATGGGCCAGCTTCATCATATTCCTGTTTGCTAATCCACATCTGCTGGAAAGTAGACAGAGAGGCAAGGATAGAACCACCAATCCAGACAGAGTATTTACGCTCAGGAGGAGCAATGATCTGTTTAAGAAAGAAACAAAAATACAACCTTCTGTTATGGAAGAAACATATCTGGTGAACAAAGATACCAGATGACAGTTAAACCTTTTTGGACAATCTGAAACCTAATGGCATCTCCTGCATTTCATTTAGCCATAGAAGTATGCACCATATCAAATCAGTAAATCCACAAACATTTTCACAAAATTTTGACAAAACCATCTTGCTGTTCTTCATTGAAATTTAAACAGTTTGTCCAATTTTGATGAGCTCTAATAGGTTAAAAATAATGGCACTGCACTGTACCTTGATTTTCATAGTGCTGGGAGCCAGAGCAGTGATTTCTTTCTGCATCCGATCAGCAATGCCTGGATACATTGTTGTACCACCAGACAGGACGTTGTTTGCATAAAGGTCCTTTCTGATATCAATATCACACTTCATGATGCTGTTGTAAGTGGTTTCATGTATACCAGCAGACTCCATGCCTGAGAGGGTTATAGCAGAACACTGAGAATAAGCCATATGTAAATAGTCATAAAACTTTTAAGTAGACCTACAAAAACTAATTGGCACTTTTGCTTGGAAGACACCACTCCCCAGGGCTTGTACAAACCTGTGGAATGTCATTTTGCAGCTGGCTAAGCTTTTAATTATTCAGAAGCTATTTGGGACCACAGACCTTTTATTGAATAGCCATTCATTTTAAAAGAAAGCAAGAGGAGCTGGGACAAGAGTTATGTCTCCATTTTTCCATCCTATTTTAAATGGACTTAAGAATTCCATTTATGGTCACACTGACTCTTGAAAAACTAACCCAGCTCACAGTTGGAATAGTCATAGTTCTGTCTTTGTAACCATAGCTATGTAACTACTTTAACTACTGCTGGTCCAGAAACTTCATTTGATGCCTAGCATCCTGTACTCTGGTCAGTAATTCTTGACAAGGGGGTTGTCATACCCTTGGGATGCCTTGAATACCCAAGGGTGCTATAGAGTGCCATACAATGTTAGAACTGTTAAGTGTACCAAAACGATTCACAAGATAAACCCAGAGATTATGAAATAAGAATCCATAGTGTTAAAAACATGCTGACCTACTGTGGTCTTGCTGAGCTGTTTGCAACAGAAGAATTGCTTATTATTTTTCTGTTGTCAAAAAATGAGTAAAAACAAAAAAAGCTGGCATTTTCTGAGCGGTGCTTTGAGTCTAAAAAGGTTGAAAAGCACTGCTCCAGCCAGTTCATCAGCATGACACATGTGCCGTAACTTTTTTTTAAGGCACAAACAGCAAAGCCTATATCTTATTTGGTCTAAATTCTACTTATGCCTCTACATATAATTACATACCAGGCACACTGAGACAGAAGACTTTCCTTTCTGACAAGGGTACCACTCTGGCAAGCCTAGTCTGCCTGCCAAGGAGATTCAGGCCTCCATTGCCAAGAGAAGTGATATGAGTCCTAGCAGGCTCTAAGGTAAACAGAACCAAGAGCACCTTCCACCTCTTCTGTTTTGTTTTTTTTTAATTTGACCTATTTATATATGGAGCCAGAAAGAGACTAGCAAGGAGTCTGGTTCTGTAGCTCAATGAGCTGGGCACCAGACCTGAAATGAGGTAAGCCCTGGTTTCTAGGCCTTCCTCCCACTCTTAGCTGTCCATTTTACTGGCTCATTATTGAATGCAAAATACAGGGACACTCCATCTTGGCTTGGGAAGGGAAAAAGGTCAGAACCTAGGTCCCATTCCCTTTTGGGTCAGTGCCCAGTTGGCTAAGCAACTGAGTCAGTCACCTACCTGCCTCACCTTCTAGTTCCATGCATCGTTCTCCTTTGGCTGCCCAGTGAATCAAGTTTAACATTAAGAGGAGTAAGAAGGTATACTGGGTAATGCCTAACCAAGGACCTTGAGCTGGGATGTGGAAGATGTGGGCGCAAACCTTGTCTGAGTGATGGGGGTCGTAAAATCTTGATCTCCCAGGCAGGTGCCCCAGTTATTGAAGCAGGACATATATGGTATTACATATACTATTTTTTGTGACGTATATAGTATTACAGAACTCCCCAACTAAGTTAGTCACATAATACTTCACCCATCCAAAGGTGACTTGTAGGAGGTCTGCCGACCCCAAACCTACCAGAATCCTTGTGTAGAAGATACATAGTTAAAAAGCTGGTGAGTTAGATATATTTATCCTCTTTTATGCCTTGTTTTCTCTAAAGTGCTTTTGTTTTAAAGATATAATATTTTGTTCTCAGAAAATTGGTTACTGGGAGAATTATGATTCCAACCCCAGAGAAGTGGTAGCTGGAGACTTAGGACCTGAGCAAAGATGTGGTCAAAGTGCAATTAGCTTGGTAACTTTGGCAACTTCATTAGGAAAACAAGAAAAACTGAAATGGATTTTGACTGTCCAGTACTGCATAGCATCTTAAGGAATTCATGATCAATGAATGACGAACTTGACAAAACAGAAATATCATCTCTGGGCCAAGGTATGTTGTGCTGACACTAGGTGTATAGGTGGGTAATAGTCTGAGAAAATGAAGTCTTATTCCCTTCTGCCAAAGTTGACCTTGGGGCATTTTTAATTGTCTATATAGAATCTTCAGTGTGCATCAACTTCTGATGTAAGGAACAACTTGTTAGCCCATATTTGTCAGAGCTATTAAGGCAGGGGTGGGCAAAATACAGCCCATGGGCCAGATCCGGCCCATCAGACCATTCTGTCCAGCCTGCAGAACCCCTAAAAAATTTAGAAAATCTTTATCTGCTCCTGGTTGTCGGCAGTAGGACCCAGGGGGAGCTAACAGGAGCCCAGCTCCACCCACTCCCAGCCATTTCCCTTTCTCTTGCCCCCACCCTGCTCCAGCACCACATGGTTCCCAGCTGCATGGCCAGACTGGGGAACACAGGGGCCCCACTGGTATGGAAGTGTGTGCGCACACAGGCAGGATCAGAGTGCGCATGCATGTGTGTGTGTTTAGGCAGGGGCAGTGTTTGCATGTGTGTGTGCAGGCAGGAGCAGTGTGTGGGGGTGTGTGTGTGTAGGTAGGGGCTGTGTGTGTCGGCAGTGTGTGTGTGTTCGTAGGACGAGTACCCCCCACACACACATACCATACACGTGCACCTACACCCCCCCTTGCACTGCCATACACAGATCCCCACAACCACACCCCCTCACACACCCCAGCCACCCTCCCTTCATACACAACCCCCAACAAACCCCATACCCACCCACACCCGATTATATAAACACACACACACACCCCACACACCTATACCCACCCCCCACAATATACAAGTGTGAGACGTCATTTTAAGCTATTGTGCAATTACCTCTATGTACACTACACAAATACATGTGAACCAGGGCAAAAATATTTTTTAAATCAAATTAATGAATGTTTTAGATGTTCACTTTTTACAATATAATTTGGTATTCTTCTGGTTCCAAGATAGCAAAACCCCATACTGAAAGGAGTACTTCCGGGGGCAAGGGGAGGGACTTCTGGTGGCAAAAGCCAGGGATTAGGGGGGTGAGACTTCTGATCCCAAGATGGCAACCAGGGGGTGGGGCACCCATCAAGGGGCAGGGCTACCCATGCAGCCCTCAACAGCTCACCAAAACTCAGTAAGCGGCCCACAGCCTGAAATAATTGTCCTCTCCTGTATTACAGTGTAGTAGTAGCTAGCTGTATTGTGTGAAGCAGCATTCATCCATATGTGGGTGGGCAGGAACGAGTGCTTTTTGTTTTTTCTGGAAAGAGTCTATGAGCTGCT